TCGAACTCTTGAACTGTGAGACTATGACCTGAGCTGAAGTCGGTGCTTAACCAACTGAGCCACCCAGGCACCCCAGACAAAAGAGACTTTAAAACAAAGACTGGTAGGGGTGCCTGGGTGGCTCAGTCAGTTGGGTGTCCGACTTTGGCTCAGGTCATGATCTCGCAGTTCATGAGTTTGAGCCCCGCTTCAGGCTCTGTGCTGACAGCTCACAGCCTGGAGCCTGCCTCAGATTCTGTGTCTCCCTCTCCCTCCACTCCTCCCATGCTCAAGCTCTGTCTCTCTTGGTATCTCAAAAATAAATAAATGTTAAAAAAAAAAAAAAAAGAAGAAGAAGAAGACTATAGGGGGACTTGGGTAGCTCAGTCAGTTAAATGTCCAACTCCTGATTTTAGCTCAGGTCATGATCACATGGTTCATGAGATCAAGCCCTGCTGGGAGCTCCGTGCTATCAGTGAGGATTGGGATTCTTGGGATTCTCTCTCCCTCTCTTGCTGCCCCTCCCCAACTTGCACTTGCTCTCACAAAATAAACATAAAAAAAAATAAAACAAAGACTGTAGAAAGAGGCAAAGAGGGCATTACATAATGATAGAGATCAATTTAAGAGGAGAATAGAAGAATTGTAAATATCTATGAACCCAACATAGAAGCACCTAGAAACATAAAGCAAATATTAACAGACATAAAGGACATAACTGAAAATCATACAATAGTAGGGAACTTTTAGTACCCTACTTATATCAATGGACAGAGCATCGAGAAAGAAAAATCAGTGGTTTTGAATGACACATTAGACAAGATGGGCTTAACAGATACATACAGAACACTCTATCCAAAAACAAAATTCATGGAAGTATTTTCAAATGTACATGGAACATTCTCAAGGACAGATCATGTCAGGCCACAAAACAAGTCTAAATGAATTTAAGATTGAAATCTTATCAAGCTCTTTTCTGACCAAAATAGTATGAAACTAAAATCAATGACCACAAACACGTGGTAAACAGTATGCTACTAAACAACCAATGGGGTCAATGGAGAAATCAAAGAGGAAATAAAAAATTGCCCAGAGATAAATGAAAAGGGAAATAATGGTTCAAAATCTTTGGGATACAAAAGCAATTCTAAAATGGAAGTTTATAGCGATACAGACCTACTTCAAGAAACAAGAAAGGTCTCAATCAAACTTTACACCTAAAGGAATTAAGAAAAGAACAAATGAAGCCCAAAGTTAGTAGAAAAAAGGGAATTATAAAGATCTGAGCAGAAATAAATGAATACAGACTAAAAAACAACAGAAAAGAGCAATGAAACTAAGAGCTGGTTCTTTAAAACTCGTCCAGCTTCATCAAAAAAAGAGAATTGAAATAAAATATGAAAGAGAAGTTACAATGGACACCACAGGAGTACAAAGAATAAGAGACTACTAAAAACAATGACATGCCAAAAAATTAGACATTCTAGGAGAAATGGACATTTCTAGAAACATATTATCTTCTAAGACTAAATCAGGGAGAAGTAGAAAATCTGAACAGACTGATTACTAGTAATGAAATTGAATCTGTAATCAAAAAATGCCTGGTAAAGAGTGAAGTCCAGGATCAGATGGCTTTATAGGTGAACTCTACCAAAGATTTAAAGAGCTGATACCTATCCTTCCCAAACTATTCTAAAAAACAGAAGAGGAAAGAATGTGTCCTTATAGAATTCATTCTATAAGGCCAGGATTACCCTGATACCAAAATCAAACAAAAACACTACAGAAAAAGAAAATTATAGAACAATATCACTGGTGAACATACATGCAAAATCCCTCAACAAAACATTAGCAAACCAAATACATCAAAAGGATCATTCACCATGATTGAATGGGACTTATCTTAGGGATGCAAAGGTGCAATATAAAAATCAGTCAATATGATACAACATATTAACAAAATGAAGGATAAAAATCATGATCGTCTTGGTACAGAAAAAGTATTTGACAAAATTCAGCATCCTTTCATGATAAAAATTTTCAACCCAGTGGGTTTACAGGAAACATACCTCAACATAATGAAGGCCATAGATGAAAAACCCATAGTTAACATCATACTTGACAGTGAAAAGCTAAACGCTTTTCTTCTACGATCAGAAACAGGACAAGGATGTCTATCTACTCTCACCACTTTTATTCAATATAGTACTATTGGAATTCCCACCCACAGCAATCAGACAAGAAAAGGAAATGAAAGACATCTAAATTATCAAGAAAGAAGTAAAACCATCACCATTTGCAGATGACATACCATATACAGAAAACTCCGAAGATGCCACCAAAAAAATAGAGTAAATGAATTCAGTAAATTGCAGGATACAAAATCAATATGCAAAAATGTTGCATTTCTATACATTAATAATGAACTAGACTAGCCAAAAGAGAAGTAAAGAAACTATGATGAAAGATAACACAAAGAGATGAAAAGATATACCATGCTCATGGACTAGAAAAATACTGTCAAAATGTCCATCCTATCCAAAATATTATGGTGCTGTCACAAATATAGACATACAGATCAACAGAACAGAAAAGAGAAGCCAGAAATAAACCCACGTGTATATAAGTTAATTAATCTTCAACAAAGCAAAAGAATATATAATAAGGAAAAGACAGTCTCGTCAATAAATGGTGCTGGAAAACTGGACAGCTACATGCAAAAGAATGAAACCAGACCACTTTCTTATACCATTCACAAAAATAAACTCAAAATGGATTAAAGATCTAAATGTAAGACCAGAAACCATGAAACTCCTAAAAGAAAACATAGGCAGTAAACTCTTGGTTATCAGCCTTAGCAATAGTTTTTTGGATCTGTCCCCTCAGGCAAGGGAAACAAAAGCAAAAATAAACAACTGGTGCTTATCAAATTAAAAAGCTTTTGTACAATGAAGGAAACCATCAGCAAAATGAAAAGGCAATCTACTGAATGCAAGCAGATACCTGCAAACGATATTATCTGGTAAGGGGCTAATATTCAAAAAATATAAAAACCTTGTATAACTCAACCAAAAAAAAAAAAAAAAGTCCAATTAGAAAATGGGCAGAGGTGGGGCGCCTGGGTGGCGCAGTCGGTTAAGCGTCCGACTTCAGCCAGGTCACGATCTCGCGGTCCGTGAGTTCGAGCCCCGCATCGGGCTCTGGGCTGATGGCTCGGAGCCTGGAGCCTGTTTCCGATTCTGTGTCTCCCTCTCTCTCTGCCCCTCGCCTGTTCATGCTCTGTCTCTCTCTGTCCCAAAGGTAAATAAACGTTGAAAAAAAAAAAAAAAAAAAAGTCCAATTAGAAAATGGGCAGAGGTGGGGCGCCTGGGTGGCGCAGTCGGTTAAGCGTCCGACTTCAGCCAGGTCACGATCTCGCGGTCCGTGAGTTCGAGCCCCGCATCGGGCTCTGGGCTGATGGCTCGGAGCCTGGAGCCTGTTTCCGATTCTGTGTCTCCCTCTCTCTCTGCCCCTCGCCTGTTCATGCTCTGTCTCTCTCTGTCCCAAAGGTAAATAAACGTTGAAAAAAAAAAAAAAAAAAAGAAAATGGGCAGAGGACTTGAAAAAACATTTTTCTAAAGAAGACACATAGAGGGGCACCTGAGTGGCTCAGTCAGTTAAGTGTCTGACTCTTGGTTTTGGCTCAGGTTTGTGAGTTGCAAGTCCCGCATCAGGCTCTGTGCTGACAGCACAGAGCCTGCCTGGGATTCTCTCTTTCCCTCTTTCTCTGCCCCTACCCTGCTCTCTCTCTCTCTCAAAATAAATAAGCTCAAAGAATACACATAAAGAGCCAGAAGACACATGAAAAGATGTTCAACATCACTAATCATCAGGAAAATGCAAATAAAAACCACAATGAGATAACATCTTGCACCAGTCAGAATGATTAGCATCATAAAGAAATAACAAGTGCTAGCAAGGACATAGAGAAAAGAGAACCTTTGTGCACTGCTGGTGGGAATGCAGATTGGTGTAACCACTATGGAAAACACAATGGAGCTTCCTCAAAAAATTAAAAATAGAAATACCATGTGACCCAGTAATTCCCCTGCTGGGTAATTTACCTGAAGAAAACCCAATCACTAATCCTTAAAGACTATTCATCCCCATGTTCGTTGTAGCATTATTTACAATAGCCAAGGGAAGGAAGCAACTGTTCATGTACAGATAAATAAAAAAGATGTGGAAATAGATACAATGGAATATTATGCATCCATAAATAGAAAAAAAGAAATCTTTCCATTCACAACATGGAAAGACCTAAAGGGTATTATACTAAAAGAAATAAGTCAAACAGAGAAAAACAAATACCACATGTTTTACTTTCATGTAGAATCAAAAAGCCCCCAAAATTAACAAACAAAAAACCAAAAACAGACTCATAAATACAGAGAACAGACTGATTGTTGCAAAAGGGGATAAGGGTGGGAGATAGGTGAGATAGGTGAAATAGGTGAAAGGGATTAAGAGGTTCAAACTTCCAGTTATAAGTCAAGGTGATGAAAAGTACCACATAGTGAGTGAATATAGTCAATAATATTGTACTAACTTTGTATAATGACACGGTAACTATACTTACTGCGGTGGGCATTTTGTTGTATATAATTGTTGAATCACTATGTTGTATACTTTGAAAGTAATATATAATAATAATAAAAATATGTAAAGCATCATTCTTTCAAAAATCTCCAAGATAAAGCAGCACTTCAGCCACTATACACTAATATATATATTATTTTTAATAACAGCCATTATTATTTTTATTCCAAAATTGGGACAGAACTGCTTTTTAGTAATACCAAAAATCTAAGTACTCATTAACTATCCTAATAAAGAAGAACTTTTCTGATTTAATAACCGGACTCAAAATTCAGTGATGAGCTAAAAGCACACGTAATCTGAGGCATGTAAGAAATTGTTAGTCTGTACTTCTAGAAAGATTAAGTATACTATCAAGTAGCTATATTTTAATAGGTTCTCACATCTTGTGTCCAAAATGAAACTCCCGTAGATCTCCTTTTCTCTCTTGGTCGTCGTCGTTCTCGGATTGATTTAGGTTGTGATTTATCTTCTCCTTCTTTTTCCTCTTCTCTCTTTTCTCCCTCTGTTAAGGATTATAATGAACCACATGGTAGCAACGTATTTTGATAGTATTTTATAAGAAAAATGTAGTAATCATATTTCAAAATCAACCTCCTTTATAAAGGCTTCTAAAATTTTCCAGTCAGAATTATTTTTGCCCCCTCAGCATTCCTATAAAACACTTGGTTTAGACATGTATTTGTATCTCCCATTAGACAGGTTCTTGATCAAGACAAGAACTGATTTTTATTATTTCATTTTCCTAGTGCCTGAAACAAAACATCTGCCAAAAGACATACTTAATAATATTTGCTGAACAGAAAATAATTGAATCCTATGAAGAAAACAGGGCTCGAGTTATTAATGTTTGATAGGGGGTTACTATACCCAAAGTTAACACTTCGAAGAAAACAAACAGTTCTTAATGATGGAACAGCTAGCAGACATAGAACGAGTTTTTCAGTTTCTGTTTCTACTATTCCCAATCCTCATTCGGTAGAATAAATACAGTATTCATTTCATTTCTATTAGACAGTATCTAAGAACAAACTCTTTTTTTCTGGGAAAAATATTTATCTTTTAAAACACGTCAACATAAAATGTAGTCTTGGGGTGCCCGGGTGACTCAGTTGGTTAAGGGTCTGACTTTGGCTTAGGTCATAATCTTACGGTTCATGGGTTTGAGCCCCACATCAGGCTCTGTGCTGACAGCTGAGAGCCCGAAGCCTACTTTGGATTCTGTGTCTCACTGTCTCTCTCTCTCAAAAATAAATAAACATTAAAAAAAAATTTTTTTTAAATATAGTCTCAAAATTTGTTTCCTTCTTAGGATAGTTAAAATAGCTTTAGACCTATATTCTATAAAGGGGCCTTCAAATAGGTTTTAAAAAGTAGACATCTATATGGAACAAAGTAATGTTAGAAATTATTTCTAAAAGTCTCCTTCCTGTGCCATTAGCAAAGAGTCACAGCAAAAGAAATTTCAAAATTATAGTGCCAACAAGTTTTTTTAGAATTGTTTTTGGAATTGGTTTAGAGCAAAGATCTCAAACTCCAATGCATATAGTGGCCATCCAGATAATATAAATGGATAAAATGGGCCAGGAGGGCACTATTCCAAGGGGTGAGGGGCTGTAACTTACTCCTTGCCTCTAGCCAATCGTTGATATGTGAGAATTAGAAACAGTGTTGCTTAATCTTCCCACTTTTCAATAGAAGATGAAAATCTAAACTTTTATGCAAATATCCCTAATTTTCAAAGTTGGCTCAAGGTTTTTACAAACCATTATGTGAGCCTCACGCTTAGTATTTTAAAGAACTGAAATATCTCAATGACCAAAAAAAGAAAAGTCAGCTGAAAATTGGGGAAAACTTAATTTTTCTGAAGTTTATCCTTCATGATTACTGATATTATCATGACTAATACTGTGGGATTTTCTTTTAAAATATAAAACGCCTAAATTAGAAATAATTTTATTTAGTACCAATCTCTTAATTAAAGTAGGAATTATTAAAATTTAAATAGGAAGTTTATATGAAAAAATAAGAAATGTTAATAGTGATTATCAATATGCCAACATATCACTGAAAAAGAAATCTATTTCTCAAGAAATAAGCATAAAAACCATTTTGTTTTAGCAAGGACACTACATGTGTTTTAAGTGATTTTAGTTTAAAACAATTCACATATAAAAAATTTAAAGATATGATCCAATAGGCAAGAAGTAACTTCAGGCACTAATAAACAGCTCCTAGAAATAGTCTCCCACCAGTTCTTCCATGCTGACTTTTCTATGTTGGTGTACATAATGCTTTTTGTGAAGTCTTAAATTATAAAGATATATGTAACAATGCCAGACTACATAATTTCCTATTTTTATTTTCTACTCTTCTTATTTTTGACCATCATCTTCTTTTTGAAAGAAAAAATGGAATGACTCCCAGTTTAGAAAAGTTGTTTCTTTTCTGTAGTACTATAAATTAGAAAAAAAAAAAATTCAAAGGATTATTTGAAGGAAACAAAGGTCTTCTTACCTCTTTCATTTTCTTTTGTTAATCCTCTGGAGTAAGCGGAAGTTATACCTACAAGACTATTTGGCCTGTTTAGCTGACTTGAAGCATAGAGTGAACTGCTCATGGTAGAAAGTGAAGAGGATGGGGTGGTAGAACTTGAAGTGGATACTGGTCTGTAACGCTGGTAAGTCTGTGAAATATTAAAATTAATTCCCACGTAAAATATTTAACAGTTAAAAACATCTAAACACAGGTTCATTTTGAAAGAAAAATAACATTCTAATCATCTCAAAATAATTCAGATTTCTGGTCCTTTGGAGTATTTTGTATATAGTTTGTCGGTATATAAATCTCTTGTATACTGAAAGTCACAAAACTAGTCATACCATTTGACCTAGCTGTGTTGGTGGTACACTATTACCTCATCGTATGTTCTGGAGTATTTTTGTTTATATTCATCTTCTCTAGATGTTTCTGACTCCTTCTTTTCTTCTTGCTTCTCTTTATCCTGTTTTTCTTTTTCTTCTTTTTCTTTTTCTTCATTTTCTTGTTCTCTGGTTCGGGTAGAACGACTTCTTCCTATTGTTTTTTCAGCTTCCTGAAGATCAGTCAGTGTTACTCCCTGTACATTAAAAAGGTAAATTTAAGAATGAGAAGCAGTATAGCTTGTTTCAAAGAAATATTTAATAAGTAGACAAATTTAATATGAATGTATTGGAAGTCAAATACACGTTTGGAATTGGTTTGCAAATTCGAACAAAATTTTTAGTGGGCAAGTCACATTCATTCTATGAAGAATCATCATGAGCAAGCACAGTAATAGGTACTGGAAAAGACAAAATACATGTAAGAAATAGTCTCTATATTTAAGAAATTAAAAAAAGGGGAGGAGATGACAGTACTATCACATGAATATGAATATAAATATTCCTAAGAAGTACAAAGAAGGAAAAGCTGATATATACATTGTTTATACACTGAATTTATATGTACTTCTGTTTTATATATATATATGTAAAAACATAAATATATACAAACAACATGTATAACATATATATGTATATATATGTATAATATGTATGTATAAACACATACATATGTATTTACTGAAAAAAATTTCAGTAAAGAAATAATTTTTAAAGGATAAGCCTTAAAGAACAGGTGAGATTTCAAAAAGTAAAGGTACAAAGGCAGGAAGAATATGTTAAGACCTTAACAAACAGTTCAGCTTGAAATGAAATACTAATAAAAGTAAGGATCAAGGAGGTGAATCTGGACTTTGGAGCGCCTCAACTATGGGAAAGGATAGACACAAAATGATATAGTAGATATAATTAGAATGGCAAGGAGGTTAAGGAGATGCTAACTAGACTGAGTGACATTTTCCTGGTACTTGCACATTAGCTGTCTGAAATATCTAATACAATAGACCTATTCCCCACAACTCCAAATATTTACAGCATTCTTTATTAATTATTAGACATCATATTAATTCATTAACACGCACTGAGTACTCTGTGCCAGACACCATCTAAGAAACAAAAAGTAAATATGCAAAGAGATACAAAGGTATATGCCAATTAAATATAATACTCACATTAATTAGATTAAATTTAATATACAAAAGGCTAGGAAAGAATTACTAAAGCAATCTTTAAGATTTCCTCACATTATATACTAACATCAGTGTTTTCTTTTTTTTTTTTTTTAAAGTTTTTAAAAAATTTCTTTAAATAATTTCTACACCCAACATGGGGCTTGTACTCACAACTCCAAGAACAATAGTCACATGCTCCTCTGACTGAGCCAGGCAGGTGCTCTAATGACATTAATATTTTCATAGAGAAGTGAAAAAGAGAAAGGCAATTTGAAGCTTTATATATTATACACATTAAACATACCTGTGTTGATCTTCTAGACTGTCTTGCTTGTCTAGATCTTGCTTTTCTTTGGGATTCAGACTCTTCATCTCTAACAGGAGTGAGGTATGATCTACAGTAATAAATAAAAATTGTTAGTTGGATATACAGTATCTGTGAATTACATACGAATGTATGAATGAATACACGGTAAGCATTTTAGTTTAAGAAAAAGTCTCCAAAAACGGTTTCATTAATCACGAAAATTCAACAATGCAATCTGATAAAGTTTTAGATTGAAAATAATCAGTATTAACTTATATTTTTCAAGTTCTTCCTAACCACAGTTTTGTTTTTTTTCTTTTGAAAAGCCATGTGATGAGTCCTCTTAGTCCCTTTGCTGATTCCCTGCAATACCATGCTAGATGATACGTGAAGGCTAAACTCTACATTGTCAATGTCTTTTCATGGTCAGAATGGTTAGGAGTGAAGGCAACATTTAACATATGGGATGACTAGTGAGCAAGCAACACTCCCTGCACTCCTGTCACTGCATTTATTAATGATGCTTTTGGCAGACATCATACTCTTGTTCACACTTTGAGTTATCTAAAAATTCAAGTATTTTTATTCATAAACTGCTTTAAAATCAGCATCCTACTCTTGGTTACTGATTTTCTAATATAAAAAGAACTTGACCTTTATCTTCACTATATCTGATCTTATCAATTATCAATCTTATCAATCACTTCACTATATTTGATCTAAGCCTATGCCCCATCCTGTCTAAGGATATGCACAATTTCAAAAGCATATGTCCATGTCAAGAGATTAATAACTAATTAAAGGGTTGAATAAGAAAAGACAGAGCCATGCAAGACACAGAAAGTAACTTCCCTCCAATGATCAAGGTTACTTGGGAAGTTCAATTGTTAATACTTTATTTAGTTATATTACAATCTAATTCACATTTCTCATACAATACTCATAAATAGAATATTTCTATTGTCTATGCTGTTAATTAAACTTATCTAGTTTATATCACCTGCCCCTCCCCTTTAAAAAGCTCAACTTTTTAAAAGGGTTCTTTTTTTAGATTTACTATGCTTTCCAATTTTTAACTCGTTCTGTTCTTTAAACTTCCTGAAACTATTCATATATCCATAACAAACTTTAGAATTTATTCTCGGTTTTATGCCTTATCTTTTATTCTTTCTATGCGTCTTTAAAAGCTCTAGGTTCAAAGAACACAACACACCTCCAACTCCTTAGAATCATTTCAGTTTCTTCACAATTCTTTTAGAGAGCCCCATTCCTTTTGATTTCTCTGCCTTTTGCTTCACACTCTTAAGTTTTTAGAAATCTGTCTGAAACTAGAATACATGATTTATTATTCCTAGGATTCACCTCCTTGAATAAATTAATCCTAAGATGACAAGGTCACCTGTCAACCAAAATCCTCGTTGCCTCAATTCCATCAACTAACTCTTACTTATTGGTTAAAGTTAGTACTAGAGGACAGGTTCTCTGTGTTGCTTCTACTCTAATTACAGATCAACTTTAAGCAAGGTAAGTCAAGAACTTCTCAGGAGGGTATTTTTACTTGACTGAGACATCCAACAAACTTAGAGAAAGATGAAAATCCTCTCACTACTTTACTTTGACTTAAGTTGTTTTTTTCATCTGGTTTGAGAAAATATCACCTATTTTCTCTATTTGGTTGAATAACCTAGGGCACTATTTCATAATGACATAACTTATTTTTTTCTCTTTATCCATATGTTTTCATTTCTAGGTTTCTAGAATATCCTGGGGGTGCCTACGTGGCTCAGTCGATTAAGCATCTGACTTAGGCTCAGGTCATGATCTCATGGTTCATGAGTTTGAGCTCCACACTGGGCTCTGTGCTGTTTGGAGCCCAGAGTTTGCTTCAGATTCTGTGCTTCCCTCTCTCTCTGCTTCTCCCCCGTTTGCTCCTTCTCCCTCTCAAAAATAAACAAACATTAGAATATCCTGAAAGATTATGTCTTTTTGCTACTATACTAGCACTACATCTATCTCACAAATCGGGCACACCCCACATGATTCAAGCATTGAAGAGTTCTATTTTACCAAATTTGGTTTCTATGAAAATACTGGTACAGATTTAAGTTTATAACCTTAAGTTTCTTTTTTTTTTTTAAGTTTAATTATTTGAGAGAGAGAGAGAGCATGAGTGGGAAAGGGTAGAGAGAAGGACAGAATCCCAAGCACGCTCTGCACTATCAGCACAGAGACTGATGCAGGGCTTCAACTCACAAACCATGAGATCATGACCCTAGCCGAAGTCAGGCACTTAACCCATTGAGCCAGCCAGGTGCCCCTAAAATTTTAATGTTTTAAAAAATTACATTTCTAATTATTTGGTCTGTTGCTTTTAATTTGTCCTCCTAAAAGTGTAGGGCAAGAAAAAAATTCACTATATACAACTTTCTTTCTTTCTTTTTAAGTTTATTTTTATTTTCAGAGAGAGACAGAGAGCAAGCAGGGGAGAGGCAGAGAGAAAGGGAAACAGAATCTCAAGTAGGCTCCATGCTATCAGTGCCGAGCTCAATGCAGGGTTCGATTCCACGAACCATGAGATCATGACCTGAGCAGAAATCGAGAGTCAGATGTTTAACTTACTGAGCCACCCGGGGTGCCCCGGGTACATAAAGCATTTTAGTTACCAGCATTTCTTTAGTTTGACTTTCTTTTAGAGATTCTGCAACATATGACTTCATCTGTACCAATGCACAGATCCGGAGAGATGAATACAACTGGTTAGGATGCTTGCCCTCTTGATGGCCCAGAATGCTCAAGCTACACTAAGCTTGATACTTCTCTTTCTCCTACTATTTCTTAATTTTCATACTGTCTGTATATGAACTCTTGTGAATTTTAAGCTTTTTATTTAGATACAACCGTTATTCCCTACTTTTGTAACAACTCCAGTGATTTCTCTGGGACAAGTCATTTTAAAGGTGAAAAAGAGTAACAATAAACTTGTTATTACAGGTTTAGTTTAAGAAAATTAATTCCAGAATAGAGTGAGGAGCTTGTTTATTCTGGAAGTTGGTTATACATATTTGGAAAATGTTATATATTCTAACCATCTCCAGGAAAATCACAACATGTTAAAGGCTCTGAGAAGAACCAAGGAAGAAACCTGTTTAACCGTAACTATGTATTTCCTAAGATTATTAAGTAGAACATACTTTTATGGTACACCTGTTATATGTGGAAAAGTGCTCTGTGAAACATCAATTTGGAAAATATGGCCCAATGGCCATTTTTTTTTAGCGATTCATTTGGTACTTACTTATGCATCCACTGTCCCTATGCAATGTATTGCTTTTTGGACTTCTCCCAGACGAGGAGAAGAAAAGAATAAAAGAAGATGAAACCTTAATGTGGTAGCAAATCTGGTTAAACAGAAAAACTAGAACAGCTCAGATGGCTGCATGTATCACTTCAGTATTTCAAGGGCTGCTCTGAAAGTAAGCATGAACATGGACTACTGAATCTGACTCCTCTATGTAATGGTCAAAATTTTCACATATAGTTTACGACAGGGAAATCTGCATTGCCATTTGTTCTTTTAATCCCCATGTTCTGCAAACAGAACTAATCAACCAGCACACTCTCTTCAAATGAGCCTCACTACTTTTTCAACAGTTTCAAGTTGCCATAAAAGTTAAATCTACCTATCATATCTGGTTTAACATATGTAGGTTAAGGGGATAAAAATTACTAGTCAAAAGACTTATAATATCTGTTTCTGTTCATTTAAATTTTCCTTACATTTGCTCCAAATCAGCATAAAAATCTAGCCTATCAATTTGTAATATACAATATGTTTCCTATTATTTTAAGAGTCCCCATCTGGCATTCAGTTCCTTCTCCTCTCTTGGGGTTCGTGTATAGAGCAGACCTCTGTGAATTAAACGTAGACAAGAAAGTTAATTCACATATTTTGTGTTTAATTAAAAAGAGCTGATCAAAAAGATAGCAGAATATATCAAACTCTACTGCTGCCTACCCCTCATGCCTTGAGGGAAACAGAGACAGTGTGAGTAGGGGAGGGGCAGAAGGAGAGGGAGAGAGAATCCCAAGCAGGCTCTGCACTGGTAGCCTGACGCGGGGCTTGAACTCATGAAACTATGAGATCATGACCTGAGCCAAAACCAAGAGTTGGACGCTTAACCGACTGAGCCATCTAGGCCCTCCTCTATTGTTGCCTTAAAAAAAAAAAAAAGAAAGAAAGAAAGCTTATTTATTTATTCTAAGAGAGAGAGAAAGTGCAAGAGCGGGGGAGGAGGAGAGAATACCAAGCAGGCTCTGCATTGCCAGCAGAGCCCGATGTGGGGCTTGATCCCACAAACTGAGCTACCCAGCTGCCCCTCAAACTCCACTGCTGCCTTAACTTACTATATCATACTACATCTCTTTCTTAAAACTATATAGGGTGCATAATTTTACTCCTTAGTAGTCTTAGATGGCTTACCATTTTCTGAGCTACTGGAAGGTTATTATTTTTAAAATAAGGATTTTCTAATAATTCCAATTATTCTATTTATTATTTCACTGATTTATTGGTTGAAATATATTTATTTATAATATTTATATTTTGGGTAATCAACAAATAACATCTTTAAAAAAATGAAAACAACCCTTCTTTTTCATTCAGCTTTTTTCCTTGCAGAGGGAAGATAAATGAGCAAATGCAAGCTGGCTGAGCCAAGGGAAAAAGGTGGAGGAGAATAATTATACAAAGCAACAGTTCCACATGAATTCATGTTACAAACTTGAACTTATTAGTAAGATACTGCTTTGTATTTTGAAAAGACTGGAGAATTAGAAACACTTAAAAAATGAAAGAATTTGCTATCATGCTATTTAAAGCTAACTTTTCTTCTCTACTTCCCACTCTGCTACCACTATTAATCCATTGGAAATCTTAACAAAAACAGAAAATCCTCATCCAATCCTAATCAATAAAAACAAAATTCAAGAATAGAATAGTTGAATTTAATAGTGAGTTTGGTAACTTTGCATAACATCTCAAAGTATATATGTGAGGATACCTAAAATAGCATAGATGTATTAACTTATCTTTTTAGCCACAATATATACTTAAGTCATAATATACACATTTTGAGGACAAATATTCAACTATACACATTTCAAAACCATTAACAAAATTTAATTGAAAGACAAACAGAAGAGGTCAACAATGTATTCAAAACTGCAAACAATTACTTGACGTGAAACAAAACACAAACATTATTATTGCAAACATCACTGAAAATGAGTAAGACAAACAAAATTTCTGTAATATACACCAGGGAAAATGTCAACAGATACATTTTGTTTCTTATGCTATTAAAATTTGTTCTGTTCTATTAATATCTCCAAATATTTAATTCTCAATCTAATTGTCTTCCAGGATTAATTCTAAGAAGCTGAAACTCAACTTTCTCCAACAAGTCTAGAAGTTAAAAATTATATAAATAAAATACTTATGTTACAGAAGAAGAAATTCTGACCTGGAGAGCATTCTAACCTTAGGATTAAAGGAGTAAAAAACCAAGGATTCCTAACCTTTCTGCCTTAACTTCCCCTACTCCATAAAAGCAAAGTCCTCAAGTTGATTTTCACTCAAAAATAATGATGGCTGCCTATGATCTTCTAATTTCTGTTGGCTATGTGGTCTGACTTGAAAACACCTCAAAAGCCTAAAACTAACATTAATGTATAGAAAAATGAAGAATTATTAAACTATGGTATGACCTATACTGGTGTTCAAATCACAAAATGCTAACTGCTTATAATGGTTTTATAGAACTATCACTAAATCTTACCATAGAAATAGTAATAAAACATAATCACGCTGACAAAAAATAAAGATGCAATGATAGGAAAGAAAATGTTTAACATTTAAAAATTTAATGTTTTGTTACTTTTCATATATTCACCACGAATATTACTGTAAGGACATTAATAACTTACTACAGGCCATGTACCATGCACCAGAGACAAAGCCTGTATATGAACACTACATGCCAGAACTATGACAAAGTTAATCTGGTTGGTATTTTAGTAAACAAACAAAACAAAATAAAAATCAAAACACCAGTTATGTAGCTAATTTAATCTCAACGGAATAAAATACAAAAAAGGTCACATTTAGTTTTTTAAGATTTTTTTTTTTCTCAAGAGGAAAAACAAAATTCAAAGCTAGTAACTATGCATGCTATAGCAGGAAAAACACTTGACTGATTCTCCTGTAATCTTGGGCCTCGCCTTAGTTCTCATTAAATCAAAGTGGAAAAGTCACTTAATATCTCTGGGTCTTAGTTTCTTATGTAAAGCAAGGCTATCACAAAAGAGGTAAGTTCCTTTCCACATCTGAAATTCCAAGCCAATTAGCAGCAGCATGAAGAAGTGAGCAACGCTCCTAACATTTAAGCACACAAAATAAATTCATAAATCCTTTAAAATATTTAATTAATGAGTCCCTTTTATGTACTGAATTAAAACTAAGAGAACGTATTCAAAGTGCTTAAAAATGATTTGGTTTACACATATGCCCAAGAAGCCTTTCTTCAAGAGAATCTTAAAATGAAAAGTCTCGGGGTGCCTGGGTGGCGCAGTCGGTTAAGCGTCCGGCTTCAGCCAGGTCACGATCTCGCGGTCCGTGAGTTCGAGCCCCGCGTCAGGCTCTGGGCTGATGGCTCAGAGCCTGGAGCCTGCTTCCGATTCTGTGACTCCCTCTCTCTCTGCCCCTCCCCCCTTCATGCTCTGTCTCTCTCTGTCCCAAAAATAAATAAACATTGAAAAAAAAAAATTTAAAAAAAAAAAAAAAAAATGAAAAGTCTCGAAAGTAACAAAAACAGTTTAACATCCATCAAATTTTTTAATAATAGGAGGAAACAGAAGAATGAAAAATCTGTTTCTGTCATGTTACATCTAGTCTTCCATAAGTGTGACTGGGTGTGTTTAGATCTTCATCACAAAACCATCTTGAATGAAAACAACCACTAAAAAAAATGAAGATGGCTAAGTAGACAAGTGTCTGGCTCACTTCCTTGAAACAAAAACATCTATTCTGTCAGAGGGAGTCACCAAGCCTAAATGCTAGTAACTGCCAATTACATCAGTTCATGTAGTTCTGAGCTGATACAGGTTATTTCACTTATTAACCTACTGAAGAGATGGTCACCAACTTGACAAGGTTAAAAGGCAAAACAAACAACTTTCAGCACTGGGCAAGATACATCAGCAGTTCTATTAGGACCTTTACACACCTGCGTCTCTCCCTGACCTCTGATGTGGAGGAGACAGTGCCAGCAGTAGTTGTAGTCAGGGTTGTGGTTGAGGCTGCAGCATTTACAACAGTTGGAGCAACAGGGATGGTCACTGCCGTAGGAACACTGTCCTTTTCTTTTTCAGTACTATCCTCAGCCCACAAACGATTTGAGGTACTATCGCATCATAAGCAGCAACACAAAAAGAGAAAAGGAAAACAGCTAAACAATGAAAGCACTTTCTAGCAGCTGAAACATGTGACTACAGGGATGGATTTTTTTTAAAACATGAGGCAAGACATCTTTGAACTATGAACCAGAAGTCTCACCCAGAGCTGTCAAAGGGAGAAATTTACATTTTAAGCAGCCTGATTCCAGAAAAGTTAATAATTCAAGAACTTCGTTTTTCCCCAGACATGCATAATTGCCTCTTTTTGGAACCAATTTTTGCTTGTAAATAATTTTAAAAGGTAAATGAAAAAATCCAGAGCCCCACAATCTTCTAAACAAAAATGCATGCACATACATAAGCACACAGTAGGCCTGAACACAAAATGTTATCTGTGACTCACCTGCTTTGTGTGCCTGTTGAGGAAGAACCCGTTGTAATCTTTGTAGTAGTGCTTGTGCTGGAAAGCAGGCTTTTCTGAAGCCCAGCTGCAGAGGTAACTGTTGGTGTTGATGTGGTGCTTGGAACACTAGAACTAATCAAATCATCTTGTCTTCTACCAAAGGAGCAACTGAAGGAAAGAGTCATATCTATATAGGATGTGTCTGTATGTGTAGTCTACAGTTAATGTCTATACATTACACAGATACACAAGGCTAGGAAAAATCTAAAAAACTGTGTTCCTAAATACACCACCAGCTCCAGCACCAAGAGTTGCATCTACAACTTGCTAGAGTCTAGATGATTTCACTAATTTGGTAGTGTATCATTTTACTGCCTCCCACCTCCCTGGACAGGACTCAAACATGTTCTGATCTGATATTTTACGTTTCTCGAACTATTAACAGACCATATGGTCATGCCAGGCTGGGTCTGAGCAAAACACTTAGGTCTGGTTTTACTTAGGGAAAGTTAAGATCAACCTTTTTGAAGAAAAGTATTTTAGCAATGAGTCACATCCTTAGGAGTGACCCATGCCTGTATTATAATTGCTCATCTTTTACTCTTCTTTTTGGTTGTTTTTAACAGAGTAAATATTTATGGTTTTTGTCCCCCCTCCTCTCCAATATGACATTACCAACATTTCAATTCAAGAAATTACCATCTCTCTGAGTTCTAAGAAAAATGGAAACTTCCAGGTCACTAAATAATGCCCAGATCAATTAAGACACTGATCTATTTCAACTTCTCTAGTCAATTATATAAGGAGTTCCTTCTAAATATGCTACAATCTAAACGATGCTTCCTAATATATCAAATCTAATTATACATAATATATATAAAAGTAAAAACAAATTTTCATCTACCTCTAAGTATATATTCTGGACTTTTAAATGACGTTTTATTTAAACAATGAAAGCACGCATTTTCTTAATGATATTAAATTGAGGGCTCCAAACAAACTGCCTCATATTTTTATAAAAGAATGCATAAAAGTTACTTAAGAATTATATTACCTTTTATGGTAAGCTGATCCTTCATTAACTGAGCTATTCTTTTTGAGATCATCTTCCCATTTTCTTCTTGTATAGGAGCTACTCGTTCGTAAACTTGAAGAGTCTCTGTGAAAAGAGTATCTTTCAAATTGTGGTATATAATTTTAAAACAGGATTAAGAAAGCTGTCTATTAAAAAACATTAGTAGAAGCAGAAACTAGTAAAATCCCTTAAGAAAATACTTTGGAATATTTATTAAGAAATGAAAGTAATTCCAGTTCTAAGATTCTATCCCTAAGGTATAATCCTAACTACAGTGGGGAAAATTAAGATATTTACAGAAGTTTTACTTATGATCATAAAATACCAATTTAAATGTCCATATTTGGAGAGGGAAAATAGTTACTTAAACCTCAGTAGACCTACTCTATGGAACATAATGCACTGATGAAAACCAACGCTTACTGAAGATATGTATGAACACATAAGACTACGTATGAGATGTGAGGTAAAAAAAAAAAAAAAAAAAAAAAAAAAAAAGTCAAGACACAAAACTGGATGTTATAACATGACTACAATTATATTTTAAAGTTCTCATACCCCATGTGCTGAAAATAGGAAGAAAGAAACTAAAATGTTGACAGTGATTAAGAGCTTTTTCTCCTTTCTTTCTCCTTTTCTGTAGGTTTCAACTATTTGGAGAGTCTGTACTAGATTAGTTTGTGACCTCATCTGGCACCACTGTCCCAACTACAATGTGTTTTGTTTTGATTTTGCCATTTCATGAATATACAAATCTGCATCTCCTCAGGACCTTCTATTTGGTGTTCTTCCCACAATCAATATATCCCACAGAGTTACAACAATGCTCATGTTTTCATTGTCATGCTAGGTAATAAAGATTTCATAGTAAAAACATAAAGCAAATCATAATGAATCCACCTGTTTTCTTTCTCTTCAATGTCAGATGTACTGGCTAGTCGTCTTGGTATTGTAGGTGCAACATATGCAAGTCTAGTTCCTTTACTATCTTTCTCCTACACAACAGGAAAAAAAATGAGTGAAAAATAAATCTGTGATTACAGGAACCGCTAAAAGTACTAAGGAAAGAGTATTCAACAATGTACAATTATACAATTACAATTATACAACCATAACAGTTTACTTTATAGTATTTCCACAGCTCCTACCTATACTCTTTAAAATTAATGTCTATTGGGGCGCCTGGGTGGCGCAGTCGGTTAAGCGTCCGACTTCAGCCAGGTCACGATCTCGCGGTCCGTGAGTTCGAGCCCCGCGTCAGGCTCTGGGCTGATGGCTCGGAGCCTGGAGCCTGTTTCCGATTCTGTGCCTCCCTCTCTCTCTGCCCCTCCCCCGTTCATGCTCTGTCTCTCTCTGTCCCAAAAATAAATTAAAAAACGTTGAAAAAAAATTTTTTTAAAAAAATAAAAAAAAATAAAATAAAATTAATGTCTATTAATAGTTAAATACTTTAAGTGCCAGAGGACAGCCTGTTCAAACCGATTTTCTTTTCTCCTTTAATCTAGAATTAGACAATATTTTAATATAAGGAAAAAAATTCCTCATTTTAATGACTTTTTCTAAATTTCTATAACAGATTATGTAAGGTAATGCAGTATAATATAATAAAATATTCTTATTTTTTTCCAGAGAAATAAGGTCTCGAATATGGTTAACTGGTAAGTCCTAATTATTTATGCTATGTAAGCTATTCATTACTTTGATATAACGTTAAAATATTCCAAACAAAAAATACTTAAGTTATATTTATCCAAATCCAGTTGAGAGTACAGGAGCAACGGTATGATACATTCCCACTGTACTGGCATCAAGTACTTGGAAAGTAATTAGGCAATCAATATATACAAAATAAAAAACTTTAAAATTACTTGATGAGAAATTCTATTTCTGATTTCTGACACAAAGAAACAAACACTTTAAACAGAGGGACAAAACTATATGAAAAAAAAGTACAAGCACTGGAAATATAGAAAAGAAATAATCCAGCAATATAAAATATATATGAATAAACTGCATACATTCTATTTGATATAATTTAATACTATCCTTCAAATACAGTTATTAAAACTACTGATTAAAAGGAGGTTGCTTTTGATGTAGCAGATATAAAACTGCAGATGCTAGATAAATGCAACTTACGAGTATAATTACATTCTAGAATAAATTCTAGAATAAATGCCCCCCAATATATTTTATTATAAACTGTCTAGTGGAGTAAAGCATTTAATTAAGTATAGTTTCATAATTTATTTTTTGAGCAAATCTGATCTTCCCAGTACTTACAGAAGCATACTTCGTTTTATTGCGCTTAACAGATACTGTGGTTTTTACAATTTGCAATTTGTTGCAACCCTGCATCAAGCAAGTCTATCCAAGCCACTTTCCAACAGCATTTGCTCACTTTGTGTCTCTTATGTCACATTTTGGTGATTCCCACCATATTTCAAGGCTTTTCATTATTATCATATTTGTTACAATGATTATAACTTGCTGAAAGCTCAAATTATGGTCAGCATATAAATATTTTTAAATTAAGGTATGTACATTTTCTTTAGACACAATGCTATTATACACTTAGGAGGCTACAGCATAAACATATATAAAATTTATGAGTATATGAGTATAAAATATACATAAAATTAGAGTGTATGTGGACATATATATATGTGTGTGTATATATATATATAGATATATATATATATGTATATGTGTGTGTGTGTGTGGATATATATATATATATATATATATCCACACACATATACATACGGGAGAGAGAGGGAAGGCCTAAAAAGAGAGAATCTGAAGCAGGCTCCACACCCAGCATAGAGCCTGATGCGGGGATCAATCTCACAACCATGAGATCATGACCTAAGCCAAAATCAAGAGGTAGACGCTTAACTGACTGAGCCACCCAGGTGCCTTATATAAATACATTTCTTATATACAGTGGGAAACAAAAAACTCATTTGACTTGCTTTATTGCAGTGGTCTGGAGCCAAACCCACAATATCTCTGAGGTATGCCTATAATTCCATACTGACATTTGTTTAAGGTAGGTCTATTTGTATTATCGTGTAAAATTCATGAAGTCAGGTGAATTAAGTTGATACACAAATTTAATAATGACACAAAGTAGAAAATCTATCAGATTTCATGTTCCTGGAAAACAAATGATTAGAGTGTTGATAGAAACCAGATGATGAAATAAGTCACCTTTTCTTTATTATCCAAAGAGGAGGAGAGTCTGGGGCTCGAAGCTGAACGTATAACACCTGCAGTGTCTTTTTCTTTCTGAGCCTCTTTAGATGCTGTGATCTCTGCAAGTGCGCCATAACTGCCAGTCTTTCTAAGTCCTAACCTCCAAGATGCAGGAGACTCGTCTTTTCTCTCTTCTTCTTTGGGAGAAATCTTTGTGGCTGAGGTTGGAAACTGTTATTTTATTTTTAAGGAAAAGAAAACGTAATTATCAACACTGATCAATCCTTAAGCTGGAAATAACAAATTTACAGATAATATGTCTGAAATTATAGTTAATAGTTTCAGGAGAAACACTTTTACTAAGTAGGTTAATGTCTTAGTAAAAAATGTCAAGATCTAAAACTGGAAAAAAAATAGAACTATCTTTCCAAAAGTTAGATTTAAGAAAACACACTCCACACTTTATAGCACACAGAAAAATTATAATGCAAATACAGAGGACAGAAATGAGCACACCATAAGGACTTTAAAACCATGCATCTCTGGAACCAATATTCATATTAAACTTGTTATATTGTAACCTCATAAATCCTTGCACATAGGAATGCCTCACCATGGATTTTTCACCCTTATTGGGCACAAGAACAATGCCAGTTTTGCGCAAGCCCTGCCTCCATGATGCAGGATCTACTGATTCCACCACAGGCATGATAGGAGCAATGAAATCATACTAAAGCCAATTAAAATAAGACAGGTAAAGAGATAAAGATTGAAAGCACAAAACAAAAAGGAAGTTATAAACAAAACATACTTTTTTCTGTTTAAAAGAATTTTGTAACAAAACCCAATAACTGGGTAATGATCCAATCTTAAAAGTAACTGGGAACAAATCTAATTTTAGCATAAGAGAAAGAATCTGAAAGAATCTAATAAAGAAATTTCTAAAGCAATTAAAGGCACATGGAGCAAATATTATAGTACTTGAATGAACAGACTACTGCATTTGAATTTTATTTTTATTCATTTATATACTTGGGTTAAGAATTTTTTTTTTAATCCAGCATAATCAACAAAAAGTAATAAGTGATGTTATCTTCCACTTAGAATATTTAATTCAGTGTATTTTTAGTATCATAGCCTTAAACTTACTTTTTGATTTTACCACCAAATATTAATTTTAACATTTCAACTAAAAACTATTCTTTTGTACAAATATTTCATTTTCAAGGTTTCCAAGAGCCCTCAAAATGAAACATTTGTTGTCTTTAACCAGTTCATTTCATGAACTTCACTGTTTAAATATTTAACCACAGTTAAGAACAGATGGGTGAATATAGCAACTAACTAGTTGCTATATGCATAGGATATGGGTAATTAAAAAAAAAAAAAGAAAAAACACCTTCTTCCATATTTATTGCCAAAGTTTGATATAATTAGCATTTCAGAGTGCTTGCTTGTTTAAGCACCCAGAATGTCAGAGGGCTACTTCATAGACAAAACTATTATGATGGTAAGATATCTCTGGTACTTCTAGTAAGTAATTCCTATCAATAAGTTCATAAATAGCCTCATGATATACAGTGCACTGAGGCATTCCAGGGATGCCAGAATAAAATCACAAGGGCGCTGTAGTATACTTTCAAGTTTTGAGAGAAAGCACAGTGACATCTGTTGGACACGGCACAAATTGCCACTGTTAACTTACTTGCACTTAACTATTTAATAAATGAAACAAATACTTCTTTCGGCCAAGTGGCACTGTGAAAAAAATTAACAAAACATTAAGGATTCCACTGGATCTCTGCAACATTTTTTTTTTTTAATTTTTTTTTTCAACGTTTATTTATTTTTGGGACAGAGAGAGACAGAGCATGAACGGGGGAGGGGCAGAGAGAGAGGGAGACACAGAATCGGAAACAGGCTCCAGGCTCTGAGCCATCAGCCCAGAGCCTGACGCGGGGCTCGAACCCACGGACCGCGAGATCGTGACCTGGCTGAAGTCGGACGCCTAACCGACTGCACCACCCAGGCGCCCCATGTAACATTTTATAAAACAATACAGACACTGAGATGACCAGTTTTTGATTTCTGCGTCTAAACTCATAGGGACCATCCAAGAATAGAGATTGGCCAACTTTTCTGTAAAGGACCAGACTGTGAATTTTAGGCTTTGCAGACCACAGAGTCACTGTTGTAACTATTCATCCACAGTGTTGTACAAAAGTAACCACAGGTAATACATGAGAATAAATGTGGCTGTGTTTCTAATAAAACTTATTTAGATATACTGAAATTTAAGTTTGGGTTACAAAAAATTCTTTTGATTTTTCCCCTCCAACCATTTAAAAATATTAAAACCTTGGGGTGCCTCGGTGGCTCAGTCGGTTAAGCATCCGACTTTGGCTCAGGTCATGATCTCACAGCTTGTGAGTTCAAGCCCCGCGTTAGGCTCTGTGCTGACAGCTCAGAGCCTAGAGCCTAGAGCCTAGAGCCTAGAGCCTGGAGCCTAGAGCCTGGAGCCTGCTTCGGATTCTGTGTCT